GAAATGTTAAACTGGTGCAAGTGGAATAAGTAAATCAACAGGGAAAAAAAAGGAAAATGATCAGAACACCTTTACTGTCCACCTCAACAGAAGCATCTTTACAGCGTTTGGTTCTCTCTTGGAGTCTTGTCATAATTGGATTTACATTATGGACCAGGAAATGTATCCCACTCAAAATTCTAGTGATTACCCAAGGTATAGGAGGTAATCATATGAACAGAGCAGGATGGACATACAGTAAGTGTCACCAAAGAGGATTTGAGCAGATTTGATGGGATCCTTCAAGAACATGACAGGTGATCATCCAGGATCTATCCCATTAGCTAGCAGAGATCTGATATTATTTCAACATCTTTGCCTTAACAGCAACGCTGCAGTTCTGTAGGATTATGATGCCTCCAAGATCACAGAGTTACAAAACCTTTCACAGTTCAAAAGCTCTTAAAGAGAAAGTTAGAAACATCACGGAAAAAATAATAAAAATCTGACCAATTAATAGATTTGACTTTTTGCCCAGACATGGGCGGATTGTTTATTTATATGAGAATGCATACTTTTTTAGGGAAATAAATTATTTGCCTATTTGAGGTTTCATTTTTTTGGTCTCCAAAGGCCTCTCTTTAAGTATTATTTACACAGAGTTCTCAGAACCTTCAAAGCAATCTCTACATTTCACAGCAGAAAGACTCCCACACAATTGCTAGCCCACATTAGGAGAAAACCGGAGAAAAGGAACAAAAAAAAAACAGAAAAAATATCATTAAAGCTAGAATGCAGGTTTAAGGGGATCTGATAAAGTCTAATTTTATCGCACAGAATATTTCAGTGAATCTTAGATGGGCTAAGATTATGACTAAAACATAATGTTAAACTAAGACACTCCAGCTCTTTGCCAGCTGATAAATGGAATGACAAATTAACTGTTTAATGACAGATACAACTACATAAACTATTAATTGGGGAAGCCAACTGCTATCTAATACTCTAACTACTGCAGCAGAAATAACCCAGAGCATACAATATACAGTAGTTCATGAAGTAAGTGAAAATATGGCAATAATTTATTTTCTATCAATTTACTACCCAGTAGTATTGATGGTTTTACATTTAAAGGGATCTGTTTTAGCTACAACCAGAGACAAACTGCCTTTCTGTTCTCGCCCTAAACGTAGCACAGAGGAATGGACTAATTCCAGTTTGTTGGACAAGCACAGTGACTGACTGCCATCATCTGGCTTGAGCAGATCCTAAGGACTGCAATGCTCCGCCACTCTTTGTGGGATCAGAGAGATCGTCTTGGTTGCTTATGTATAGAATGCTGCAGCCTATATTACCACTTTACCTACGAGTCCCAACAACTGAATTATCTTCTTCTTTTAAACACATTACTGCCAGTATTCGGCTCCACCCCAGACAAACTGTTTTAACTAGACCGATAGATATTCCATCCAAATAAGGATGCTATTTATTTAGATTAATGCCATCTTGCATTTTTTTTTCCTTGTTTCTTAAAGTCTTTCTTTCCAGTGTCACCCTGTAATAATTATGTGTTTGTGGTCAAAACTGAGCACTGTGTGGTTTTTGCAAATTTGTAAACACTTTTGGTCACAAAACAGCACCCATGGAAATGTTTAGACTACAACACTGAAGAGTGCTACAACAGATGGGGAAGCTATTGGTGAGATACATGAAGGCAACCAAACTGTGTTTATTTATTTGTATTCGCTCTGTATCCCAGAACGATAAATACACAATCTGGTGTAACTATTCCATTGTTAGTATACCAGTCAATCGGGTCTTTCTGGAGACGAAGGCATATAATTCCCTCTGTAAAACAATGGGAGCTTTAAAGAATCTGAAGAGGGAACAGTTTGAAACAAGAGTGTGAGGTGATACTCCAAGCAGACCTGGGGTCACAGTGAGTTCACCCCAGATCATGACACACCCTGTATACTGTTTCCTCCCAACTGCTGAAAGTTTCATCCAAAAATCAAACTTTCCTAGCACCAATTCCTAGCAACAGCTGCAGAAACAAAACTTGACATATTGCTGAAATAAACCAGTCTCGTCTCAGCATTAATTCCACAGATAGATGTTCCCAAACCTGGGGTAGTATCCTCTCTTCTTAAATGAACTGATACGTTGCCTGACTGGAAAGTTTTTTTTTCAGCTCAAAAGACGGAAATCTTGTTACTCAAGATCAAGCGCACTGGGTTGAAAGGAGCCTCCAACATATTTAAGGATCGAAAATAGTTCTGAGTTCAGATTAATATGATTGTTTAGTTCAATTAAGGGTTCGATTCAGTGAGATCGAACAAAGGCAGACATGTGGGTCCCGAGCCCCAGAGCTGAGAAACCTAACAGCAAAACGATGTGCAAGTCTTTTCCACTTGGTATGCAAAAATGCAGCCACTGGTGGTAATTCGATGATTCAAGTTTTTAATTGGGAACCAGAACTTTTTCCAATCCTTGTTGCAACCTGTCGCCGATAATTAGATAAACGAGTATTTAAAAATGAATAAAGCTTGCTTATTCTAAGTGAACCCTAAATGTAACCCCCATCACTTCATCTATCTCAGAAACCTACCCCTGTTCGTGAAATTGCGCAGGACCTCGGTGTCAGTCCTTCTATAATAACTTTTAAACTAGTTTGTACGACAATCATCCTAAAACCAACGAATCAGGCCGAATCTGAGTAAATCGCTACTGTTTTTTTTTTCTCCAGATTGGCCTTTTTTAGACGGGCGTTGGGACACCTCGGGGTGACGGGGCAGTTACGACCGTGTTGCAACCTGAAACTGCTGTAAACCGATTAGCGCAGCTAGGGCAGCATTCCTGACCCCGTCCGATCGCAAAGTTCACCGAGACCGGTATGTTACTGCGTGCTGAGTTTGCAAGCGGGGCTCACCCGGTTCACTACGGCGTCCCACGGATATTCAGACAGCCGAGAGAGAAATAAAAATCCATCAAAACTAGTCTGGCAAAGTACTTCTAAACGGAAATTCACCTCACCGTCAAAGGTCCTGAAAAGACTTCTCGTTTCTCTTTCAAAGACAGCCTCTGGGTAATACGCCTCCTCCCACAGAAAGACGTCTTGAAAGCTCCTAGGTTTGAAACAACTCGCTACTTTACTCGCCTGTCATCCGCTTAAATGCAGACACTTGCCAACATATGACCTACTGGTCGACCCCCCTGTCATCAGCTGCCATTCTGAAACGACGTCTACATGCCATTTATACCGTAGTTTTTTCTTTTTTTAAAGCTACTTACTTTGTTAAATTTCGGTTCTCGTCCTCCTTCCGCGCCGAGGAAGTCACATTTGACGTCAGGTTAGCTAGCTGTTGGTTAGTTCAGATCTTTTTCTCCGATTAAATATTTCCAAACACAGCAAGGAATTAAAAAAAAAGAAAACGCCGGAAAATGGTAGTCATTAAAGTTGGTTGGCTCCAAGCTGTGAAAACGGGACTGTGTTGTTTTACATGTTACGGCTGTTACTGTACCCAGTACAGTACTGCCTAATCAAAACTACACCTCCGAACCACGCTGACGACTCCTTGCTGCTGTGAATGACGCCCCCACCGGAGTCACATGTCGCCAAAACTTTACAGTTGTAAACAGTGCAAACGTGCTGCAGTGAGCGGAATGCTTCAGAGATTTTAAAGGAAAATGCACCCTTTAACTCACCCGGGAGTTGCTCGGAGTGGGAGCCAGCTTGTGCGGGACTCAGGAAGGGACTTAGCTCATGTAAAGAAAGACGTTTCTCCTGAATCTCATTCAATGAGTTCCGTAATATGGTAATAGTTATTGCAGCAGATGTTTCCCACCCAGCAGAGCTGACTGTGTATCAAGAATGCACAGCTCCAGTACTGGAGGTCAAGAGTGTTCTGTACGGTTTTACCCTTTATTGCACTCGATCTCTTAATTACCTGAATGAGCTCATCATTGGCGCAGTATCTTTGCCCTGGTTTACTGCTCCACATGCAACACAGATAACCAGCGAGCCCTGACCGTTCCACTGGAATCTGTGTTGTTTACCCCAGTTTAATAGTACTCCATTTCATGTATAAACTGTAAATATAGGATTATGGAGACCATCTCTCCCAGCCTTGGACTCTTTTGAAAACTTTCTGCATTTTTATCTCTAAAATCTGTTTTGCAAAATCCAGTCAGAATGTTTTTAAAGACTCTGTTCTTGGTATAAGTAGATGTAAACAAAGAGAGACTGACTGTCGGGCACTCAGAGAGGGCCAGAGGGAATTTGAGGCTGGTGAACTATGACCCTTCGTTGTCTCAGCCCCAGGTCACACCAGCTGCGGCCAGCATCCAACTCCTGTCCACTGACTTGGTCCAGCGTTTCCTGATTGTCTGGGAAAGAGCCCTGTAGGACCTGCTGGGTTGTGGCTCTCTTGCACTGGGCTTGTGCTCCTCTGTGCTGGGACTGGGGTTAGTGCTGAAGAAGGCCCTGCTGGTATGGAGTGTACCAGCTCTCTACCATTACACTCACGAGACACAATCACATGGAGCAGTTCAGGTGGGGAGCTGCGTCAGCATGCGTAGGCTGCAAAGGAACGAGTAAGAGGTTTATTCAATGCTGAAAAGAGAAGAAAGAAAACACAATGTTTCGGACGTGGAGCTCCACAGCCAAAACGTTGTGTTTTCTTTCTTCTCTTTTCAGCATTGAATAAACCTCTTACAATTACATGGAGACAGATGTATTAGAGTTTATCCACACTACCAAATGTAAAAACATAAATAACATGAAAAAATACAGTTATTAGCTCCCTTTATGACCATCATCGGCTTTACGGTTTAGCTTGCAAAATACAGTTTCTGTGCGTGAGCATCCTAACTCAGGAGCATCATAGTAGAATAAGGTTGTGACCAATTGTTGAGGTGTTAAATCTTCTATGTTTACAGTTTACACTTATTGCAAAGCAATCAAAACCTCAAGAATGCAGAGACTGGGGGCTTCCAGATGTCCACAACAAGCAGACAGAAACTAAGCTTTGAAACATTTTATTTTCTGAACAAGAAGCTTTTTCCCCATGCGCACACAGTATGCATACTAACTGGATTATCATTGATTAACTTTCTTATTGCATTTCACAGGAGGGGTGACGTTGCCACTTCAATATACACTACTCTCAGTCTCGGAAGCATATGAAAGAAAACTAGATTAGGACAGATGTTCTGGAGCAACAGCATATCTGGACTAGAGTCTCCAACACTTATTGGCTTCAAAGTATTTTAAGCACCTGTCTGTCAACCACCTCTAATCCTGAATTTTCTATGACCACATTTTTTCTTTTTTAATTTAACAATGAAGGTGCTGGTTTGTGCATTAAGCAGCCGTGCAAAGTCTACAGAAGCTTCCCGGTTACAGTACATAGAATATAGACGTCTGCATTAGGATTCACACATGTACAGTACTATTGAGGTGTGAATGGTAGTAGAAGCAACTTGTAAAATATTGTGATTTTCTTGAAGCCAGTGTGGTATCAGATGTCAATGAAAACATCACTGGTTCCTCACTTTTATAGCCAAATCTGTTCATTAGTACAGCTTTTATGCTTATAGGCTTCCTCCGTGTCTGCTTCACTGATGGTCATTGTGCTCACTACTGTAGTAACAGGTTCCTTCTGCACATCAAACTATGGGGCACTAGCTCTGATGATAGGCCTGTTCTCCCCCCTCACTACCCTATATCAGAATCTACTTTTTGAATGACTTTGTGTGTTTTTCCAGCAATGCTTGCTTATCCTGGTATCCTGGTAATCCAGGCAAGAGAAAATGAGACCGATAAAGAAATACAATATGCCTCTGTCATTAGCTTTTAGAATATTGTCTCTTCATATCAGTTTCTGTTCACATTTGGTTTGGGGACAAGACTGTTTTTAAGGTGCGTTTCTTCAGGCCTCAGTTCAATTCTGCTGACAATATATGACATCATAAAACAGGTCTTTGAAATGCTGGTGACAAACAGTACTTCAACTGTGTGGGGTTACTGCAGTGAATAAAAACTAGAAAAATGAGATATAGCAATTTTCTTTTCCATGGCATTGAAGGGATGGCACAACATCGAGAGAGCTGGAAATATAATTTATGATGATGTAATATGTTTCGATTTGTTCCTACCACATTTAAAATATACAGTCGTTTAAAGCATCTTTTATTCATTTTAATTTTAGATTATGCTACAGCCAGCTTTTCAATAGATTAATCAGATGCATATTAATTTGGTTTTATTAATGTTCTGCATTGGAGAGCCCAGGAAGTTCTGAAATGGAACTGCTTTGAGCATGACAAATTCCTGGATATTTCTGTGGCCTATGCAAAAAAAAAGTCACTATAACACCACAGCAGCCAAGTTACTAAACAAACAAAAAAGCTGTATTCTTGAAAACTGCTCTACCCCCAACCCTCAAACAGAACCCTTGGTTAAGCAGTCAAGTAAATGTAAGCATTTTAAAAGGTACGAAACAAGCTGTGGTTTCACAGATGTTTTTTTTACAAAAGTAAACCACTTCCACGTCTTCAGCAAAACAGGAAGCATGGTTTTCACAAAGTGCCAGTTCTAACCAAACACACTTCAGTACACTTAAGTGCTGCGGGGACATAAATAAGTGCAAATTAAAAGAAGTAAAAAAAACAAGACAGTAGCACTGCACATCTGCTAGCTAAGGGCAAAAACTCTCTTCAACGTGGCAGCAGTGGGTTCCAGTTTTCCCTAATCAGCATGATCATCCTCTTGTAATGAATTTAAATTTTGTCTTCAGTCTTCTTCAGGATCTGTGTGGCACTCTCACCTCCTTTAATCTTTACTTTGGAGGGCAGTGGGCAAAAGGAGATTCCTCATTCATGTTGTTCTGGAAAAAGACCACACACACACAAACACAAAAGCAATCAGTTTAGAACAAAGGTCACCAAAATTCCCAGGCAGAAACAATCCAACAGGTTTCAGTTTCAATCCAACAAGCCTTAAAAAGTATTCAGTAAATGAAGGCCTGGGAAAAGCTTTCAGTAATTTCAGTTAATCTTTCAGCAGTGATTGTGTTACTCACATGGGAACATGACAAAGCTGTGAATGTGCAGGAAAAGAATGAAAAATGTTTTATAGGATGAGTGTCTGGCCTGATTTAGGATATATTAGAGGATGAGGAGATTTGGAGAGGGACAAACAGGCCGATTTCTGGGATTCAAGTGAGTAAGTGCTGCCTCTCTCATTAGAGGGCGCTACTTTGTCTTAGTCAAAAGGGCGCTCTCCATGGAATGTGAGTCATTTTGCTCAGTGGTTATGGCATTTAGTAGCATTTTAATCAGTAATTGCTCAGCATAACTTAGTCAGCTTTGATAAGGTCAAAGTTTTTTTATTGCTTTATTCTACCATGTCATCAGGGAAGAAAATTCTCAGGACCTGAAGGCCCTGCTTCACAAATATAAGGACACAAAGAAAGGAGAATTTATATATTTTTTTCATTTCTTTGGATTTTATTTTAAAACGTTCAGTTTTATTTAAGAAGCAGGGCTTTTAGTGGAACAGTCTGAGAGAAATACCTTACTGAAGAATACATCAGCAAATCTCCCATCCAGAATTTGAACTCACAACCTCCGATTTAGAATTCAGAGCCCTAACCAATCCCTCAAACCTAAACATAGCCAGACCTGGTCTATATTTCACATGCATTGGCCAGATATTTTCCTTTTACATAAGAAGAAACTAAATGCATCTCATTTGCCTTGTAATCTCTGAGGTCAAGACCCTGATGCATACAGAGCCAGGATGCATACACACTCCTGTGATCCAAACTGGAGATCACTGGGTGACAGATCATTTTAAACATTGTATAATCTATCTCAACATACAGTCTAATCACAATTCTGGTGTGGGAGAACACTGAACAACAGGAAATGTACAAAGACATTTTCTAGCATCAAAATCAGATGACTGCACAAAAACTCCTTCATTATGGTCTACTACCAAAAGATACAGAACAAAGCTTACTGTGTAATACCAAAAGTGAGCTGTTTGCATACATGCAACACAGATTCCAGTAATTCAAGGATGTTGTTTCCATTTGTACTGGGGCCCAGAGCTTTTTAAACTCCCCTCTTATGTCAGGAAGTGGACTTTGGAGCCTCTCATTGACTCACCATGGGCAGGTCCTCCAGCTTCTCGAACTGGGGGCTCCTGGAGCTCACAGCCTTCGCCACGACAACCACCAGCACCAAGACGACCACTATGAAGAAGATGCACAGCACGGCCACCAGCCCAGGGCTCCTGCCAATGTCCTTGACAGGCTGGTGATGAATCCCTAGTCATCGAACCACATGCACATTTACAGCACGGGAGGGAAAGGGTTATACAGCAGAGAATCTAAAGGAATGGCATGATCCATGAAATAAACCTCATAACCGGCCTTCATTATTCTGCTTCAGACTCTTAAACCTGTCAGTACAGGCTTACAGTTCTTCAGGAAATGTAATACAATTCCATTTGATCCATGATGCCTTGCAGTTGCCTCTAAAGTGATAGGCACTGTTCTCTATGCATTTATCCTCCACATTAGACCAAGGTTACTAATTCAAAATAACAGTTTGCACAACTTATCATCACAACCACATAGGAAACCGTAGCCAAGTCACTGCACTAAGCAAGCAGGGTGAAACTAAATCTATGAGCTACGTGTTCTATAAAGTGTCAAATAGCACTTTGTCAATAACACTGTAGTGTTTTCTGAACCTGACAGGTGCAAAACTGAATCACTATCAAGTTGCCATGTGCTTAATAGATTTCTATTTAACTAGCAGGGGTCTCCATCCCTGGTTCTGGGGAGTTCCAATGTTTTGTAAAAGTTTCCAGGACTGGTGTTGCAGACTCCTGACGTGGAGAATACTGTATGCAGTAGAACACTTCCAATGTCCACCACTAGGGGGCGAAAGATGTTTATACAGTGCATATGTTGCTCTTTATCAGAACCTTGTCTCAACTATCTGGGCTCTAGGTTTGGGTGCAGAGAGGGTGTCTTGGCCCAGAATCAATCTTGAAAGGCACAGGAAGCCAATGGCGTCAGCTGCTATCTCACCTTGCAGTGTGCACACACAAACATGGGCCTATAGGTACAGACTGTTTAGGACAGACAAGCAGAACACATTTTGGATGTTTCTGACTAGGGAATAAACTTCATTTCTACAAACATAAAACTGAAACAAATAAAAGCACACCAAGATCAGCAGTTTTTTCCCCCATGCGTACCTGTACGCGTGATGGTTTCGTTGGCAGTTTTAGAGGAAGCCCCAGTCGAGAAAATTGTTTTAGGGGTCTTTGTAGTCGCGACGGACGTGTTGGTTATGCCTGTGCTGTTCAGGGGCGAGGTACTGGAGATTGTCCTGGCGTGACTGGTATTGGGTTCAGAGCTGGTAGTCAAATTCAGGCTGGAGGTCCTGCTAGTCTCGGTCTTTGCTGTAGATGGCAGTAGAGAGGTCCCTTTGGAAGCAGGGGTTCCTGTACTGCTTGAGGTGGACTCTCTTGAAATACTGGGGGAATGAGGCGAGCTGGTGGCTGTGGAGGTTAAGGTTGTTTTCACCCCTGAAGCAGTGGAGGTGATGGAGGACTCATGAGGACGGGTTGTCAGCGTGGTCTTCACTGAGGCCGAGGAGGTGGCTGAGCTAGGGTTCGTGTTCTTGGCCGTAGTCGAGGTGCTTGTTGTCGTTATGCTGGCTCCTGCAACAAGATGGAATGCAAGATCAGATGTCTCCTTCTTAAGCTAATGCACGCTTTTTGGTCTGCCCGTTTTCAAAACCTGGGTACAGTCAATTCTGTGGCGATATTTTTAAATGTACAAAATTCATCTTAATGAATAACTGCTTCTCATGAAGCTGTATTTCAGACGAAGAAAAGAGGGGAAACCAGGATTCGGTAACCAGGACCTTGAATGGTACGGTCAGTTGTTTGTACTATTAGCACTCCCTCTAGTGGCTGATAATGATAGTCAAAAAAGTTTTTTTAACCTGCGAACACGGACAAATTAAATCAATCAAAGTGTATTTATCAAATGCACAACAATACGGCGTGCAGCAGTAAATGTCGGGGGGGGCTACTGATTAAAGATTCCCTTTCATGTTGTACTGCGGATATTAGACGCCCTGCGATAAACCACACCCGATATTAATCCGAACAGTCCGTACAAAGGATGACAACATAGCCTATTATTAACAGAAGTGTAACACCACCCCTAAACGTGGTTGATGATAAAAAAAGATGCATTTGGCTTTGGAATTCTGAACTGTCAAGATGTTATGATGAGATTGCGTACAATGGTTTAATTGACAGGATAAGATCACTTCTTTCAGGCTCGTGAAACGCGGGGAAACCTGTCTGAATCTTTATCTATTGGGATATCTCGCTCTCCACCTAGCGTTCAAACTCCTCAAATATAAGTTAAGCGAAAGAGACAATCTGGTTTTAGAGCAGTTCATACCCCTTCCCCGGTGAAATGCATGTTTGTTACCTTAAAATGTATCGTTCAGCATTCTCTGCGCCGCATTGATGTCTATAGATTCTTATTTCTTTCGGACAGATGTCGTACTAATTTTACACCTGTTCTGAGAACGTCTGGTCATGCGGAGTTAAACTGAAGCGTGCGGCTTTTGGTGCATCTCGGTCAACCCACGCTCAAGACTTTATGTTTTTGTAGATATCGGCGAGGTATAGGGGTTTCTGAACATGTCGGAGCAAAACGAAAGAAAGGAGACTGATTTGGGACATCTGAACAATCAGTTAAAAAAAGAACCTCCGTTGATTTCTACAGCGCACATTTGCATATGTATCCCGATGCGTTGGCACGCGTCTTAATGGTGTGCCATTGTCCTAAACAAACTTAAGTACATGTTCACCCTCACAAATCACCCACACGATATAATAAGCAGATGGAGAAGCGAGGGAGTGGGAGATGTTTGGGAAAGGTCCCTCTTCCTTTTGTTTTAACAGTTAAAAACTGAAAAACGTAACAATTACAAACGCCTCGGCATCGTTTAATACTCATCCCCGCACCTGGATGTGAAGTACGGGTCTGTTCGGTTAATGATACTAGCGGTTCAGTACTCGTATTAAGTATTAAAAGCACTGGCACTCGTACTAGTGATGCTGTTTGTAGTTACAGCAATAGTTCTACATCAAAACTGCTGATGAGCAGCTTCCACGTTTCCCACATATATTTAAAACTATATCAGAAACAACAACGTTATGCGTTGCAGCCACAAACAAGAAACAGATGATTAACAAATCGACAATATGCAGCTACATTACATTATAGGACGTACAGATAGATAACATATTCTATCGTGGTCTTTTTTTTTTTTTTATAAACGTAGACCTTAACAACAATTAAGCCCGACGACCAGGAAGCAATTGAGAAACCGCTTAAAACACCTCTCTGAAAAATTCGCCTGCCTGCCCACGGACGTATTTATCGCTTTTCAGCTCGCCTTGTGGGAGGACTGGCAACACCTCCGAACCTCGTACCCCATACCCGGTATCCTCAAGACTGCTCCCGCACTGCGGGCTTACCTGGGGAAACCGCCAACGCGAAAAGCGCTGACCAAAACACCACCGTGCGCGCCGCCTCTGCCATATTGCCCAGTGCGAAAGTTTGTGCAAACTTTCCGAGATAACACTGAGCAAATACCTCTAGCAGGCACAGGTCTCACATCCTTGAACGCAGGATGTAATTTAAAAATGGGCGTGTCTTTTTTCTTCTTTTCATACCTTGGCAATGACCACAACCGGTGCGGGCAGGGCTTTGTTTGAGTAAGGAGATCTATTTAACTTTGCGTGACGATATTAGTTTTTTTTTTAGAGTATGGACGCGGCCTTTTCTCATGCAAATGGATCCCACACTACTGACTATTGGCGACTATACGTGAGCTCACACGAACGGCACATTTCCCGATCAAAGAGTCTCATCACCTGTGCACCTGAAGTCCCGGAAAATCATCACTTTCACTCTCTTCACACACGTACTGCTCGACTCCTTAGCGGGAAAGGACACTTTACATTTCTATATCCTGGACACGCGTCAGGAGCAATTTCATTTGCATTCTCGCATCCTAGTTTTTAAACTAGTGGATCGCACTGACTGCCAGAGTCTCTCTCACTCTCTGCAAGTCGTTACGTAAACCGCGCAGAAATGGTCTTAGAGTTAGAAACATTCAACAGGAGATTCTTGGAACGGATGTTTAAAAAGAACATAAACTGTATTACAACAAAACATACAGTTCTCGCAAACACTACAATTGCAGCATAATTCAAAAATTAAAAGAAAGGCTCAGATATCACAAACCTAGAAAATATTACCGAATCTGACTTGTACTGTATCTTTGAGAACCTTTGTGGATGTGGTAGTTTCTGGTTAGTTCTATGGAAGCTTAGCAGTTCTGTGCCACTGAGAAGGTTTTATCTGGCAATGACAAAGCGTGTGGGAATATAATACACTACATGTAGACACTGCAATATCAACCTGCATCGCTAGAGGGCATTACAAGTCAGTTTACAGTGAATATTTGCTTGATTTCAGTATAACTCATCTAACAGGGACTATTTGCTTTCTTTAGCAAATTATGAGCCCTGACACTACATTTAATGCCCAACCGCAATGTTCTTTGAATCAGAGAAGGCAAAACTATATATGCAGAATTAAAATAAATTGGTTATAGATGCAGCGTGAGTCCAAATACAAAATATTTAAAAGCTAAAAAGGAAACAGAATTGTCCTCTTTTTGAATACGTTTTTGTCATGTGAGCGTCACAGTCTGAGAAGAACTTCCCGTGTGGGCATCTGTGTGGTTTAGGAGTCAGTCTCTGCCTGAGAAAACTGTTACGTGTTTATAAGTTATAAAAGCAAACCTCAGTAAATCAAAATTCTCTTCCTCCCCCCACCCCCTTAGCTGAACAATACAGGGAGAGACAATAGGGGAATGTTATTGTTGAAGTGTCCTTCGGAATTGCATTCTTCCTGAAGGTCTTGGTTAAGCATTTAATCGCTGCCATTGCAATAACGACACATCACTTCCAGGTTTCTGTAACGCTTTACATACAGGAGAAGGAACACTCCATTCAACACTGACGTGCAGAACAGACCTACCTGGGCACGACTGCAGAGCCCTTCCAGTTGACTTAGGTTAAAAAACTTTAACGAGGCCAGAGAGGAACTGAGGCACGACATCCCTTCTCCTTTGACAAGTGCCTTAGCATTAAATGAGCAATTACGTTACCTCCTGCACCACGATGTTGAGGGCCAGAGAGAAGAGCGCCACCTGCTGGAACCGCAACCCTACTAACAGAAGCATTTGTGACCTGTGTCCTTGCTTGTCTTTGGAGATCTGGTGAAATCAGGCTTCAAGGCATTAACGCCAGTGTCTATTCCTCATGGAGAACACCAAGCATATCTGGTCTTGGCAGTGTATTAAATCCAAGGTTGGGACTTTAACACACCAATCATGTCATGATACTTAAAAAAAAACGATTTGCTACATTTTCCCTTACTGCCCAGAACCAAAACAACCAAACCACCCATTCCGATAATGACTGTTATAACACAAGGAATTGTGCTACCATGGGACTGGCATCGTTTCAAGCACCTGGGGAAAAATACAGGTTTGAATGTTTCTGTTAATATCCAAAATGCAAGGATCTATCTGCATCTATGAGACCAAGAAAACTAAGGCGATTGAAACATTATTTCTGAGGTGTGATGTTTTAGACAGCACTATATCTCCACAGAAAAATCAAGCTCCCTCAAAGTTTCAAACTAGTAAGAAGTAATTTTCATTGTTCTAATGGAAACGTCTGTGAATTAATCCCCCAAATTAAGAACCTTTCAAACCTTTGTGAATGATACAGTGTAACAGATACTTGCTGTGACATTTTACTAGGATACCGTTCTTCATCCCTGGTCAAATTGATATTTTTATGAATAGAAAAACTCCTTTCTAAAAACTGCACATAACATTTATTCTAATTATAAATGAATGACATTGATTTTTGGGACCATGCCTGAAAATTGGCTCAAGGCAAGATCTCTAATCAAGAAAGAGCTTTTCTCCTTCCTCATTGCAGAAGTCAAACCCCAGCCTTCTGGGTCAGTTTTCAAGCAGCTAAGTAGTGAATCCAATCCCACTAAACTAGATCAATGTGTCATTGAATAATAAAAAAAAGATTTTGTTGAACGAGGCCTTGACATACCACTTACTAGAATGTTTTTACAGGAACGTTCCAAAGTAAAGGATGTTGTGCGAAAGATTTATGAGCAAGACCATGGAGCTCTGAGCAACAGGTACAACCAGAAAGACTAGTCAGAGAACTTTGTAAGGAACTCAAAAACAAAAATTAAGATTGTTCTGGGATTGCCTGTGATTCTTATCAGACTTCATGAATTCAAGAGTCAGTAGCTTATCTTTGCAAAAGCCTGGAAAGGGCTGCAATTTAAGTGTGATCAGTGTAGGGTGTATTTTCAACCAATACCCTTTCAGATTATGAGGGTTATCTGTTTTACCTTTTGCTCTATCAATCCTTAATGTACATGTTGAAAGCCCATGTAATACAATCGCATTGCACAATAGTAGAACATTCTTCAAGTCATAGTGCAGATTCAGTTGGATTTTACAGCTCCATAAAAATTAATTTCCAATATACCCATTCATTTCCAACTGCACTGCATTCAGTCTATGGATGAACACAGGCCCAGAGAGGGCTAGAAAAATCACTACTCCAGACACATTACATAACTTATGTAGCAAATTTTATTTGTTTACACTTTTTTGGACTCGGTATCCAAGTAGAAATATATATATGTGGAATGTGAAAGAAACTTCAGTGCAACATAAATATTCTTTTTTTAAAAAAAAAAAAGCTCATAATGAACCAATAACCGCTTCACATTCGCGAAGTAAAACAACAATCAAAATAAAGATGCTGTACAAGTCAACTTTGTAGAAAATATACATACAGGTCGTCTGTTCGCAAGTGCTTGTAAACATTTAAGGCTTTTATACACGTGAAGGACATGCACCTGATGAGACCCCGCTGGTTCCCAGCTTTCACCAAGTTTGTCACGGACATGCAAAACGGCTGGTTTAGAGTTCCTCTAGTTCAATAAGGCTGTCTTTATTTTTTTTTAAAGACAAAAAAAGAGACAGCTACGGAACGGAGCCCCTTTGGCAAGAAGGCAAGTCTTATTTTTAGAATGATTTAGATTGATACATTTTCTGCTAAAAAGCATTGTAAACCGTATTCTTGTTACATTTAGGCATGATAGTGTGTCACTCAATAGTGTCCTTAAGAGGGGGGGGGGTCTTAAGTTCAGAGCCATGGTACTTTTCCGAGATATAGATGTGTTTAATCGGTAAGTTTTCAAAGTCAAAAGTTCAGAGCTTATACAGACCGGGAGGCAAAGGGAGCGAGTCCCTTCCTCTAATACGCTTGGACTTGATGTGGCAGTAGCTGGCAGCCGCGGTTGACGTGGTTCAGGACCTTCTGTTTGAGCTGGGCGACCTGCTCCCTCAGCAGGCTGGCCGTGGAGGCAAGTTCAGTGTTTTGATTCTTCAGGGACTTCACTTTGTCCTCCAGCCGCGAAATCCTCTCCAGTTTCCGCTTTCGGCACTTGGACGCGGCGATGCGGTTGCGCAGCTTCTTCCTCTCCGCCTTGATGCGCTCCTGCGTGTCCATGTCGATGGGCGACAGCGGCGGACTGTCGCCGAAGCTCTGCACGTCGGGCACGGTCTGCGGCTCGTCCTTCAGCGCCTGTAACCGCGTGTGCGACGGCTGCTGGCCCAGGTGAGCCGGCGGGGGAGGGAAGGGTACAGTGTCTGTGGAGTAGTTGACGGTGGTCCCCATTGCTCCGCTTGCGTAACTGCTCAGGTTAGTGTAGACCGGAAGGTCCGTGTGCATTGTGGCTGGGGTGGCGTTGGTGCCGGTGCCGGTGCCGGTGCCGAGACTGTTCGTCTGGACACACGCCCCGGACAGCTGGTTCTGCTTGTGCAGGTCTTCCAGAGCCTTGACGAAGCCCTCGGCGAACTCCTGCTCCTCGCTCACCGATTTCGGGTACAGGAACTGGGAGGTGGGGGTGGTGGTGACCATGCCGTTGGACTGGATGATCAGGCGCTCCAGCTCCGGTGACGCCAGCTTCAGGAGCCCGAGGTCGGGCGAGTTGAGGATGCCATCGGAGTCTCTCAGCTGCTGCTTCAAGTTGGCGTTGGGGTCGCTGAGGTTCAAGCTCATGTCCGTCTTCATCATGTTGTTGTAAGAGTAGGCGCTCGCGATTCCTCCAGTAGATCTCAACACATCATCATGATAGAAGGGTGTTTCCATCATCCCCCTTCACATACGCAGGGGAAAACGGAGTTTGCAGCCTAGCAAGACTGGAAACACTTTATTCTGTCAACAGTCAGTGTAAAGAAAAAAAAAATCGCTATAGAATTGCGCCCAAACTGTTTTGTTTTTGGCAGGGGTTTCCTGCCGCACCGCAAACTTGAAGTTCAGTCTCTCGTCGTTGCTAAAACTGTTGGACCGGCTGCAGCAAATAACAGTTCCGGCAACGCAACGATTTCCTGTTCCTTCCTAATCTTCTGGTCGATCACCTTTGACGGCTGACGTAAACAAGGGCATACGGTCTCATTTTCAGTCACAAAACTCCAAAAACGCACGCTGGAAAGAGAGAGAGGGTGAGACGGTTAGCGCCAGCAGACACCACACACTTCTGAGCGCAACACGAGCTGGAGTGAGGTCTGTGCGGAGCAGGCGCAACCTTTTCTATCCTCCTAAATTCCATTATGTCATTTCAGAGCCTTGAGATTGGACAGAAATGACGTTTTCTTCCTGTTTCATTTGCATAAAGGGCCGAGCTCTCGCCCATTGCTATGGAGAGAATGGGTAAACTGCAAACAGTGCAGTGCATTGTGGTTTGATGTCATTAGTCAACCCAGGGTCGGAGAAGACGGAGGGAGTTTGGGAGGACGGCCAGACAGGGAGACGAGGGAGGAGGGAGGGAACACGTGGTGTTTTCATAATGGGAATTCATATCGCCATATCCAACGTCAGGTTTATTTATAGGCGCATTAAAGGGAGTGCCTACCGAGTGTTTTTTTTTGTTTCTCTCCTCCAGACTGACGCATTTCGAGTCGCAGCTAAAGCTAAAGTCGCAGCTCTTTTTTTTTTTGGAGCAGAGAAAAAAAACACGGGGAAAAATGTGAAGAAAAAGGCAGGCTCACCAGAACACAGCAAGCATCCTTCCTGCTGCCATAACTGCGATTCCATTTGTTACATTTAATTAAAGACGGTTCCTTTTCAACCCAAACCAGGACGCTTTTAGCGGTATGGGAATTCTTGGATGTTTCGTAATACAAGCTGCTCAAAGGCACTTGTTTCAATGTCAGATCCCTTGGATGGCCCTGATTGTATTTATATTGTTTTCCCAATGTCAGATGTAAAACTAGGTGTTCCCAGTATACTGTCACATTATCACCCTTCTTTACTGAGAGATGTTTCACCAGTTAGAACCTAGACTGTATCTCTGAAGAAAGTTTAACAAAGGTCACAGCACAGAATTGTCACCTACTTTCAGAACAGAGAGATTTGGACGACACCTCCTGTAGGATGACTTTAAAGCTCTTGACCACAATACAGGTACAGTTTCCATTTGCATAAAACATGATTCTAAACTACTGAAGGAATTGTATTTTGTCTCCTTTACTCAGCTTACATATGAAATTCTCTCTCTTTTACACAATAACACATCCAAAACTATTCCGAACTATTCATCAGGTCTGATCTGAGGAACAGCCCACACGTACTGCTCCAAACTTTTATTAAGAGAAGTCTGAGCCGCCCTAAAAATGAAACTGTGGGACATCGAAGGTTGGCAAGTTCCTTCAGTTCTTGCCCGTGAGATTGTTTTCCATGTAATTCTACCCATTGTCTTAAAATCCAGATAAAAAAACAGTCTCCTTCCAAGGAAAGCTTGGCACACCAATCCCCACAGCAGTATAACAACGAGCACAAAAGGAGGGCATTTGAAGAAAACTCCACCTCACTGAATGTGCACTGCCCTTTTTTCAGAATCCACCCGTTCTGAGGGAAGGTTCAGCCCCTTGGGTGCTGCTGGATCTGTCTTCCAGAAGAGGAGTTAAACTGAAACATATGATAAAGACACAGTGATTCTTTATTCATAACTGCTGACTCCAGTTTTAGACTATACAAACAAATGTAATCTGTCCCCATTTGCATTTAATTTAAATTAACAACTGTTTCTGCGTCATTCCTCTTTTTCAGCGGCTCCTAAGTGTTTCAGGTGAGAGTGTTCAGAGGTGGACACATTTTCCCCTGGGGTGGCTGATTTTTCATTTATCATCATTGCTTTGGGGGGGGGGGATTGGTTTGTAGAGAACTTTGAGTTTTTGTTGTAACGAAAAATACTGAACGAGTGTAGGTCACACAGGCCCACTGCAGGTGGATTTTGTAGGGGAATTTCAATGCAAATCCCATCTGTTTCAGTTGAAAGAATTTGTGGCTTCTAAAGAGAGCGGAGCTTAAATGGCTCTGCATGCAGTAATTGAGATTTTTTTTTTAAAAGAGAGATGATTTCCCATTCATTGCTCGTATAAATCACAGATCCCCAGGTGCCTGTGAACGATGATGGCTTTCCGTAACACTGTGCTTAGCAGAGCATTAGGACTTACAGTTCAGAAACTCCACAATTAGAGTAACTGAGAGTGGTCAGGGATTTTCTTTCTCTCTCTGTGAGCTCAACGAAAAAAGGGGAACTGTTATTTTTTGTATCACTTAAACTTCCCTATTCACTTGACAACGTACTGAAACTAATGGAGTTTCCACATTTCAGATGTGGCTGAGTTTCACAGACAACCCTCTAACTGAAACAAGTGTGAAGCCTACAAGACAAAAGTCCTAAAAGAGGCCTCCCCCTAACGTGCCTACAGTTGAAGTGGGCCATTCGCATGAGCGTGACTTCACTGACCGCTGACCAATCAAGGATCACGAGGACAGAGGAGATAGATGTTCAAGATAGCCACAAGAAGCAAAGATTCTGTCATGTGAATTTTGTTTACTGGGAGGAGAGGGATGTTTGCCAAGTAATGCAGAGTGTTCAAGGAATTTGGTAAATAACTATTCAATTCCACACCACCTCATTCACAAACATTACATTACAGTTCAAAAGTAAATCTGTCACGTTCACTTAAGTAATATATCTGGATGTGAATACATCAATATTGCACTGTACCGACAGAAATACTTCATACAAGATTGGGGTTCCGGTTTTAGCATTTGACAACAGTATCAGGTTGTGTGCATTGTTTGCAAAATGCATCTGTTTGCACTTTTCCAAGAAATGGCTTCAAACCGTCTTCCCAAATCCCTTACTGAAGACTGCCCTAATGTCTAAAAGTTCTGGAAACTGCCTGGCTCAAGCCCAGCCCCCAAAGTCTTGCTATAATTTGTGGTTCTGTGTCTTGTGACCAACAGTGCTTGGGCTGCACTTTTATCAAAAACCATACTTGTTAGGAACTGTCTTCCTTCTGCTTTCTAGAGAGCAATGTAATTGTGAGTTGTTTTTTTCAGGATAGCAGTTTTGTTTCATATGGAGCCGTCTAATGACATAGGAGCACACAGGAGTGACAAATCGTGGAAAATCAGTCATTTTTTCCATCAAAAACTCTTACACCGTAACATGCTGTTTTGGGCATCAAAGACCACTGAAAAAACCTGTATCTACCTGCAAAAGCTCACTCTTTGCTGCTCTCCAGGCCAGCTGAATACAGATCAGGAAGCATTGAAATGAAATTGAAATACAGGCACACCTCCTAGAGCATGTGACATGACACTTACCTTCTCAGCTAAATTATAAAACCTAGAAAGTTGCAGGTACGTTTAGGTTTGTTTTTTCTCATTGTTTAATTGCATGTTTTCCTGTTATTATTGTTCATACTGTATCCATTAAACACATTAAAACATTAAAGCATCATGCTTGTCCATTCTTCCCTCATTAGAAAACGACACAATCAGCTGTCAGCTTAAGATGAAAGACGCAAGATCACAGTTTTTAGGTATCAAATGTATGTCACCCGTTACATGTAAGCCCTGAGATCAATAAATAAAAAGTTAAAAACATATTGGGCTATAGATGAGATAAATATGAACATTTCCAGATTCTAATTTAAAAGTAGATGTAATTTTTTTTTCAATATATAAAATTAGCTATTTGTTTTCCATTTTCATTAAGTACCATTTTGTCTGGCAGGAAAATGAAGCAAATACGCCCGCACCTTCACTTTTCAGAGAAGTAAACATAAGTTTTGTTTTAATATAGTGCTTCCCGTAGTTGCTGTACAATAAAACGATTTAAACAAAATCATGCATCACAAAATGTGAGTGCTGCTTGAATAAATACAGATCTCAAGCTTTTTTAAAAGCATAGTGGAAAATGATACGAGAAGAGAAAATGCGCTCTGTGCGCGTCTTATGTGTGAATTACAAACGCACGACAAAGGAAAACTCCCCATTAGCACTGAGCACAGACTGCAGGCAGAATGGCGAGGGTTGAGCGTGGGCGTGCGCGTCACAGGTAGCCCGGCTCCTCAAGGCGTAGTGGGGGCGCTGGCGCTTCGCTCGGTCTGTGATGTCAGAACAGCGGGCTGCCTTCTGTGGCTTTCGGCGGAGGAAGTAGAAAGTGCAAAATTTCACTGCCGATCGAAACAGGCCTCGGGCAGGAAAAAAAATCAATGCGCGGAGCTGCGCGCTTTGGGGGAGGGACGCATCTGCTGTTGTCGTGTGGAAAACTGGATTATTTCGTTAACCTGTATCTGCTTGTTTACAGCTGTGGGCAGAATTCTACCAACTGCACGCTGGTTTATCACAAAGCGCCTCATACTTCATTACCAATGATGATAACCGAAGTGAACTAGGCCGGGTCTGCTGATTTATGTTTTTTACGCTCCTCCTATTCCGTCATTTGATTTTTTTTCCCCCGGTAATCTTGCAATAGCTGAAAAAATGCGGGCTGGGCATGTAGGCTGGCTTGGTCAGAGGTAGGCAACATCGGGTCTTCACTGTGCTAGCGTCGAGTTTCAATTCAGCTAGAACTTTAACGACTTAATTGCCAATTAATTCCCTAATTACCCCGTGCTGCTGACAAGGCCACTAAAAAGACGCAGGGATCACCAGGAACAAAGAGAGCAGTGTGGAATAGCAGCCAGGACTGTGACCTGGAGGGGTTGTGGGTTCAGATCCCAGGAGGGTCACAGCTGATGTGACCTTGAGCAAGGGCAAGACCTTTCCTCTGATTGCTCCAGCAAATGCCCTGTAGTATGCAAGTGTATTCTCTCTTTGCCATTATAGCAAATGAGAGTTTGTTCTTCACTGCATTTTATGATTAAATAAAGGATTAAAAAATAGAATGGAAGGGGTATGCTAAGCCCCCTTTAACAGGGCTGGGACTCTCAATGATTCAGAGCTGTCTACCAAGTATTAAAGTATGTCATATACACGCTGTAGATAAAGTGCTCTGTACCTGACAAAGTGAACCCAGTGTAAAGTGTTCTAGACTGAAGTGAGTCACACAGGAAAATCTTTTTTTTCGGGGTGGGGACTTCTCAAATTTGCTTGGTATTTGGCAAGAATGTCAGCAGAGAATTGCTGATGAAATAGCTTTGTGGCAGGGCTACACATTGTTCCTTGTTACAAATAAAAGCACAGGGACAAAACAGGCGGACACTTTGCTAATGTCAATC